ATATAAATGTGCTCTTCTGGAACAATAAAGATTTCTTAATCTTGATTTAAACGCAGTCACTGTAATCTACATAAAGGCATTTGTAATGAGTATAAATTGGAACAGTATTATTAATCAATTAACCTTTTCTGTTCTATTTTGTTCTGCAACTCCAGTGAAGGGAGTAACCTCACCCCAGCCCATCATTTCCCCGACTTCCGCTTTAAAACATATGCTCCTGTGGCCTTCCGCTACTTCAGAGAACTGTTTGGAATCAGGCCAGATGACTATCTGGTAAGGTTTGGTTTGTAAATAAAAAAATATATAGTTGCTCTGACCTCTGTCTAGGAATTAAAAGCAAGTTTTAAGCTGGCTGACCATCATAAAACACTAAATTCCTTGAATTAATTGAAGCAATGCATCTGTTTCAACTGGGATAAATCTGGACAGAGAACAAGGAAGAAGGTATGCAGTCATTGAACAGAAACATATGAATCAATGAAACAACTGTTAATACAGACTAGAACTCTGGAGAATTTGCTGGGAGAAATAAAAAGATGTCCAGTAAAGTAGGGTGAGAAAGGTCTGAAGACAGAGAAGGAAAGTCTGCACTGTCTCTTTCCATCACCATGCACACTCTGGAGGCTGCATGATTCACCAACCAGCCTGAAGTCCTCTGGCAGTACGTGTTCACACTGTTCAGTTAGGGTTTATGGGCTCTCCATGCCCACTTGTTTTTAACACATCAGTACTCCAAACACGTGGTAATACCACGTTGCACCCTGCTTTTTCCTCATTTCCAGCCAGCCTGTGGGCACTAATCAACATATGTTGTCTTGTGACATGTTTTTATCAGCTTACTGCTGCCTCATTATCATATTTTTAGCTCTGTTAATGCCAAAAGTGTAAAAATGACTCAGTTTACTAAAACACATGCACTAAGTACATCTGCTCTGTTCTTTTTTCTGTTGTATTTTTCCTGTTAAGTATTTGGTTACTAATAGCAGATATGCACTTTGCAATTGAGCAGCTAGTTGACATTTTAAAGAGCCCTCCAAACTGTGGTGTTTAATCTTTTCCTCACATTCAACACTCTGGCATGCACATTGCTTTGCATGTAGCCCCATTCAAAATGTTGCTCTCTCTGATGGAACTACTGACAGTCTGCACTGAAGTTGTCAGACTGATCTTTATTAAGCTCATCCAGTGGCAGTATGAGGGCAAGTGTGCTCATCAGTGATTAAAAAAAAACAAAAAAAACTAACAAACAGATAATGAAGGGCAAAAGGCTAGTTCAACATAAGACATAAAAATAACCAAATGTATAGAAAAGAGTGCTGATATGCCTCTTACGATCTTTTAGGGCAGATTTGCTATTTTCTGTAAAGAAAACGAGATGATGGTTACCAACAAATACTTGCTGCAGCAGCATTCAAAATGTGTTTTGTATAAACTTCAGTTTTAATTTTTTTTTATAAAGTTCTACCTGATAGGATCATGTCTGTGGGATTATAAACAATTACTGAACTTTATTTTTAATTGCTTTTTTGTACAAAGCTAAATATATTTTGTCAAAGATTTCCACCTTTAGTAGTAAATTTACAGTAATGTTGCATGTAAACTTTGTACAAGTCAAAAACACTGTCATACAGCCTAGTATCATCCTAGATACAGCCTACACAGTGCAGCAGCAATAAACATATTAGCTGTTACAAGCTTATATTAGTCATATTAGTTGTCACAGATGTGGCTTGGTGCAGTGTTATTGCCAGCTGTTCAGTGTTGTTTATCGAGGGTTTAGTAATCTGACAGCTTATGGATAATAGCTGTGTTAGAGAGAGCAAATTTCATGAATAAATTTAACATTTAACATAATCCAAGTTGAAGTGTTACATCATTTTCAGCCTTTTTGTCATCTGCATTTGGTTGCAGGCCAAACTGACAAAGACCATGCAGCATAATGTAGTATTTTAATTCCACAGCAGAGAAAGCTATGTAGTCTCTGTAAGTAGGTCTAGGAAAAAAATATTGGTGCTAGTATTGGTTATTGGACAAGTAAGTTATAACAAATCGGATATTGGCCAAAAATCCAATATCATGCATCTCTATACACCAGCGCGTTGGACAATATTTTCATATGCCTGGATGAGTTGTGTTATAGTGTGACAGGGCCCTAAATCTCTGTTTGTGTTGGACTCTGCAGTACTCTCTTTGTAACGAGCCGCTGATCGAGCTATCCAATCCTGGAGCGAGCGGGTCCGTTTTCTATCTTACAAAAGACGACGAGTTCATCATCAAGACTGTGATGCACAAGGAGGCTGAATTCTTACAGAAACTGCTGCCTGGATACTATATGGTAAGCAAATAAAGCGTGTGAGGTCCAAGCGTATATGTGGTGCCTTATCTGAATTTTTTTTTTTTTATCTGAAGAAATAGTTTTCAACAGAAAGTGCCAAAGAAGACAAACATTGAAAGTTACAGTATGTTGTAGCAGAAATAAACTGCTTCCACGTTTTGTTACTGGGTTTTTTCCTTGCTGAGTTGTTGACACTTGCAGATTTCCAGAAGGTGACACATGCTGGGCATTAAATGGTGACTAAGTGTTGCTGATCTGTGCAAAAATAACAGTGGGCTTGTTTTTTTGTTTTTTTTCACACTGTCCACTTCTGAAAGCACAGTGTCATTATTGCTGTCAGTGGGAAGGTGCTGCTGCAGCCATGCTAAGTTCACACTTATTTAAACTCTGACCTCTCTCGTGATGCAAGCCTCTGCATGAGATTCTGGAACAGGATGCCCTCGTGCAAAGCAGACATAACGGCTCTTCTCAGCTTTGATTGAAACTTGGAGGCACGTGGTTTCATAAGAGACTCGCTGGTGTTTTTCAGTTGCCTGATTTGGTGAAAGTAACAAAGCATGACTTTCACTGAGCAGCCCACCCTCTCACAATCTGAAGCCTCACTATGAATGAAGTCAACCAGCTAAAGCTCCTTGTATGTCCACACTGCTCCTCACCATTTCACATCCCTTTAGCCTTCTGTTTGTTCATATGCCATCAGCTCAGGCAACAACCATGGGGAGACTTTAACAACTTAATTTTGTTTCTCAACTAAAAGTTTACTCAAAGTGTATTTATAAGTGTTCCAATGCAAAAACATTCAAACACCCTTGTATCTGTTTTGTTTTTAAAAAATCGCCTCATATCTCGTTGCATAGTTTTGAAATAAAACATGGATTCCCTATGAAAATAGTAAGCTCGATTGAGAATAGTACGCTATGACTTTAGGTAGCAGTACGTCGTACAACATAGACACTATTTGCTAAACATTGTACTAAAAATAATGATCAATAAGTTGGTAAAAGAAAGTAAAGAAGTTGTTTTTGGAGTTCTATAGCTCAGAAGTACTTTACAGAGAAAACATTATTCAAAGTTTAACTAGGTCGCAGAAATCCAAAAGTTCACTCAGGTCCTTTGGACTGTTTCTTTTTTTGTTTGAATCATTTCATCCTTCATCCAAAGGACTTCGTCAGTTCGAGGAGCCTCAACAAACTCAGTCCCACAAGCAGCACACTCGCATAGTGGACCAACCAGTTTGATGGTTTCTTCCCAGTCGACTCGTCTGAGGCAGCCATGGCCAAAGTGGTTCAAAACATCAAAGTTCATGCTCAGTAATCCAGACAAATAATAATCCAGGTTGTAGCTCCTCGGACTGATGACGTCCTTTGGATGAAAGACGATACCGTCCAGATGATCTGACACTTTGTTGGATTTTTTTACCTGGATTACTGAGCATGAACTTAGGTCACAGAAAGTTATCTTTACATGTTTAAACTGGCACTTTGATTTTTTTTAATTAGTATTTTTACACTATCACAGTTTCAGTTATATATTTATTTCCATGAAATGCTCAGCTACCAGCTGGATGATGTTACACAAATTTCAAAATTTTGCAGACAAACAGTCCATCAATAATTTGGTACATGTACAACATAGACATCAAAGTGTAGGGAACTGTCTTTTTCATGGTGTGCTTTCCACGGCTACAGTGCCTAGAATCAGACTTCTATTACAGATTTTAGTTCAAAATATTCTCTTAAAACTGGAAGTAATGGGTCTGTTTAACTTGTCGTGTCTCTTACATAAGAAACAGTAAAAACATAAACGTTCACATGTGGGACCACCAAAGTTTTTTGCAGCTCTCGGTTCAAGAACTTGTTAGATCTGACTTGTACTTTTTGTTTTATACAGTTTATGCATCAGATATTTTTTCTTCGTTAAGGCTATTACAAACTTATGTTTAAATTTTGGCAGCAGCTTGATACCCTTCAGAAACTTCTGATTATTTTTTTTGTTTTTCATGTTCATAGAAAATAGGTCATTGTGCGTAGTCTTGTTCTTCTCTGGTTAAATGTTAACAGCAGGACCCACAGGGCTGAACACCTCACAATATGGGATTAAGGGAAATTAACGACTGAGCACATTTACCGCTACATTTTCACTATGTTGACTTTGTTCTGAAGTTCTTGCACGAGTTTTATTAGTATAAACAAACTGTTTATTGAAAGCACGGACAATCAGACTCAAATGGAAAGGTCAGAGGCGAGAGCTGGTGTACAGAGACCGTTACATACAGCATGTTTAAACCAGGTCTCTTGTAAATGAGTCCTCACGACTCAGTGAGACTAACCAGTATAAATAAAGGTTGAATTAATGAATGTGTGCAGTCATTGGTGGACCTCAGTGTTTCTTCCTCAGCTGACTGGTGGAGGCTCGAGGCAGCATGCAGATCACCGTGATGTAACCAACGCTTCTCTCCTTTTGGTGCAATTGCCCTTTTATTACACGTTTCTTCCCCCCACCCTCACTGGTGGTTAAAAGTCGTAAATAGTACAGCTCTCCCTGGTCTGTTGTAATTTTTCCTCCCTTTCTTTGTGTCACCAGTGTTCATTCTTCCTTACACATCTGTTTCCTAACACTGACAGGAGGTCATGTGTGGGCTGAGGCCAGAGGATGCTCTTTCTTCCTGTGTATTCATACTCCGCTGCTGGATCTACCAGCTTCTCTCGTGGCGTGAAGGTCATTCAGTGTGTGCTGGGTCTTCTTAGCCACACTTCTGTATTCGTTCTCTCATCTTTACTTCTCCTCTTGTCCTGAATGCTGTGCATCACTAGTTCATGGACCAGCACTCTCGCTTTCTCTCTGTCCCTCTTTCTGCTCTTGTTTTATCTCTAATGGGATGGAGCCAGCCCAGCTCTCAAGGTCGGAGTGGGTTTTTCTCCGAGCACCCAATTTGAATAACCTTATTCGTGTGGACTGACTTCTGAAGTATTCAGAGCTCTGTGGGTGGAAAAGAGAAGCAAATCACTCCTAATTAACCTTTGAAAATATGAGTTCAAGATAGGCTTATGGATCAACCCAAACGACTCCAAATTTGAACCCATCCTAAAGGATTTCTTAAACCATCCCTGTACAGCTGAGAGTAAATTAGATGATTTTTCTCTTTATGGAAAACTGGCACTGCCTTACTTAATAAATAATAAACAATAATAAAGTGTGTAGTGAATAAAAGCACTAAAGAAAGCCAACAACACATCCTGAAATATGGTCAACAAAATATACTGTTTTCTGTAATACTGTTGTTGTTGTTGTTGTTGTTGTTGTTGTTGTTGTTGTTGTTGTTGTTGTTTTTGTTGTTGTTGTTGCTGTGTTTTTTCTTTTATTTCTTTATTGTTATTTGATTCTATAAAGATCATCTTGTTATTGCTGTTGTTTCATGTTCAGAATCAAATGATCAGATTATTAAAACACTTATAATTTGTAGGAATTTGCAAAAATAGTGTTCTGGTCTAATACAACAATTCATTATCCTTTACAGACATGCTCTAATATTTGACTACATTAGTCCCTCGCTACTTTCGTGGTTTTTCAAAGTAAGATTGGACATGACGCATAATTGGCTGATTGATGGATGAGCCGCACGAGTGGCATGGATTGTTTATTAATTTATTTTATGATTTAGCACCTGCTGCACCTGTGTACAGCTCACAGGTGCACGGAGAAGCTCCCTTCTGCACCATGTCATGATCTCTACTCTCGGCCACGCCCACTTCTCCGCTGCAATCACACTCATCGCCTGTCACTCCCAATCTCCTTCCTTCTGTGTAAATAAACATTTTGAGTTTAATAATTTTTAATAAACAATCCATTTTGCATGGATAGTTTATTTAAAATGTATTTATTTTAAATTTATTTTTGTAAATTTCTGTTTTTTCCAGAGAATTTCCACTTTTATGTGCACATTTATGCATCTTTCAGCCTAATTGGGCACAATTGTGCTATCTCCACTTTCTTCTGGTAATTTAGGCTTCTTTCTGCAGTTTCAGCTACTTTTCAGCTATTTCTTGCTAATTTCAGCTTTTCTTTAGCTAGTTTACTAATTTTTCTGCTCATTTAAACCAAATTCAGTAAATATGTTCTTTCTGCTTTCTTCTGCTCACTTAAACTTGTTCTTCCATTTCAGCTACATTTCAGCATGTTTTAGCTAATTTCAGCCGTTTTGTCAGCAAGTTCTTCAGCAATAAGCAGTCACACTGCATTTTCGCAGGAAATGCAGTTTTTCTAGTTAAAGTTTAAAATCCTAAAAATGTCAATTTCTCCTCCGTGCTGCAGCAGCTTCATGAAGGGTTAACCCTTTGCAGTCCAACTGCACGATTGACTTTTGTCCTCCAACTTAAAATTCAAAGTGTCACATCGTAAAAATGTCATAATCACAAAATATAAGAGTGTTAAAAGTTACTTTTAATTATTTTACAACGTGTATGTTCAGTTGTTTCAGTGTAATTGATCAAGAAGTACATTTCTGCGCCATGCTGCAGAGCTGCATGACGGTGTTGCGCTTCTCTATAATGTAAATTTAAATACTGTAATATTTAAAAAAAAATACAGTATTTAAATTTAAATTGTTCATTTACACAGAAGGAGGGAGATTGGGAGTGACAGGTGATGAGTGTGATTGTAGTGGAGAAGTGGGCGTGGCAGAGAGCGGAGATCATGACATTCTGTGCTCTTTTAGAACGTTTAGAGTTTAGAAACATTGTTTAGAATATTACAAGAGTGTGGGAAGGGTTTATATAAATACTAAAATAAACTACTACTTACTACTAACACTTGGCCCACTATTATCCCTACTTCACAGTTTTTCACTTATTGTGTGGGGGAATAGTGTATTTGAAAACACTTGGTTAAAAACTACGTGTTTTACAGCGCTAACAACTGGATTGTACTATAGGACAAATTATTCAATGAGACTTTGTGATAGATTTTTTTTGCTGAGACAAGTTTGACAATAAATATTGAGAAATTGTTTTCTTAATTTTGTATTTTTTTTTTACTAAGATGACAAAAAGCAGAACTAAAGCAAAATTTTTGCCTGATTTTATTTTATTTTATTCCACAAATAAATGTCAGTTGTTAAAAATATTATTAGATGTCCAATATGCATCAACATTCTGTTTTCCTGTTTCTTTTCATAACCAAATTGATTTATTTTCCCTAAATGTAAAGTACTTTCTCTGTGATTAAAGTATAACTCGTATATAACCCTTTGTTTTCCCCCTCACCCATCCTCTCTCCTCCAGAACTTGAATCAGAACCCTCGCACATTGCTGCCCAAGTTCTTTGGCCTCTACTGTGTCCAGTCAGGCGGGAAGAACATCCGTGTGGTGGTGATGAACAACGTCCTGCCTCGTGTGGTCCGTATGCACCTCAAATATGACCTGAAGGGTTCCACCTACAAGAGGCGCGCATCCAAGAAGGAGAGGGAGAAGGCCAGGCCCACTTTCAAAGATCTGGACTTCATGCAGGACATTCCAGATGGACTGATGCTGGATCAGGACACCTGCAACGCTCTCGTGAAGACTCTGCAGAGAGACTGTCTGGTGAGCAGGACAGCTGGGAAGACAGTTCGCCACTTGTGCCATTTTCTGATCAGTCACTGTGTATTTTCATGTGTGTGGTCTGTTCAGGTGCTAGAAAGCTTTAAAATTATGGACTACAGCCTGCTGCTCGGTGTGCACAACATGGAACAAGCAGAGAGAGAGAGGCAGATAGAGGGCTCCCAGAGCGACAGCGATGAGAAGAGGCCCGTCGCTCAACAGAAGGCCCTGTACTCCACTGCCATGGAGTCCATTCAGGGGGGAGCCGCTTGCGGAGGGTCCATCGACACTGACGACACGTGAGTTGAACTCTGAAAACAAGGCGTCGCAGGCAAAAGAGTTGATTGATAGACGAGACTGCTGCCACTCTCAAAACAAAGAGTCCACGTTCACACATACACACAGACTGGATTAAATACTGAGCTGCATGGAAGCTGTTCTGTGTGAAGAACTGCTGTCTGTAGGAGAGGAGAAGGATTCAGCATCAAGAAACTGATGAACCACAAATGACATTAACATCCAGATGCATAAACCAGAGAAGACCTCCAACCATATAAAAATACAAGTTTTATAGGTTTTGTTTTGACATGCCTAACAGCCTTGAGGGTGAAATTATTTAAATGAAACCGATAATGTTGGGGGGGGGAAATGTTACAATGTTGAGCTGCATATAGATCAGGAATTTATGGTTGTGTTGTTAGTGAAATCTCTGCAAACTCCCAGTGATAGATGTTTAATTGTACTTCTCTCCTTCCAGAATGGGTGGTATTCCAGCTGTTAATGGAAAAGGGGAACGGCTTCTCCTTTACATCGGAATCATAGACATATTGCAATCCTACAGGTGATGACGACTGAAACGAAGCAGTTGTAGTTGGCCCAGGTCATATTTTCTGCTTTTGACTGTATAATACTGACATGGGATGGAAGTAAAATCATTGTACAGACTGAACCTTCCTCTTGCAGGAAGGTACAGATTCTATGCAGACTATCTTTTTGAGACAACACATTAACTCTGCCTGCGTTTGTTTATATAAGATCTGTTTAACGTCAGGTAAACTCTGCTTGTTGTCATTTCTGCAGGCTAATCAAGAAGCTGGAGCACACATGGAAGGCTCTGGTCCATGATGGGGTGAGTTCCTTGCAAGCATGGAACGTTCAACTTAAAAGACAATTTCAAGTTTCGTTCATTTTACCTCATTTATGTTTATTATTCTTTGTCTAGCATCATACTTAATCATGTTAATACACTATATAACCACCACTCTTTTTTTGTTTTGACTCAGTGAAAGCCTGTTGGTGTGTTGAAACACGTTCACATCTAAGTGTGTGTAGATAGGCTTATTAAATCCAGCTTTAGAAAGAGCCATGGATTATATACAGTAAGCACTAATTCTTTAGGTTCATCACCAGCCACAGTGTTTGATAGAGGTAATATTTTAATATTGTGTTCTCCATAAAACTTCATCCTGAAGGGTATACTGAACTAAATAAAACGATACAGCTTAAAAGCAAATGTTAGTCTGACATATTGAAAGACAGAATTTTTTAGTGCTCCTGAACTAATTTAGTCTCATCTCTATATTTTCCTGAAAAAGTGAAATACAGCTCAAGTTCAAGTCTCTTTAAATGTACGTTGTGTAAAAGAATTGCATACTTTAATCAACAAATATAAGCATAAATACTTACTAATACACCAAAATTGTTGGACTTGTTGATCCCAAATGGCTCTTCCATGGAAGTTGCCATTGATGACCTATTTTCAGTCACTTTGGCTGTTCCTGTAGATCAGTGCTTCTCAATTATTTTCTGTTATGCTCCCTTCAGGAATAAGTAAACATTTCGTGCCCCCCCCCCCCCCCCCACCCCCCGAACTCTCTGCTGCCACTGTAAATAGTATGTCTATAAAACTGTTATAAGTATACCGCTGCCTAACATTGTGTCCTTAACGTTAAAGAAATAAAAAAGAATATAGATAAACTTACAACAAAGAATAACTTTATTAACTTTGTAAGAAACAACTTACAGTGCATCAATTTGCCTGAAAAAAAAAAAATTGCCCCGGGCCCCCCCAGGGTGGCGCACCCCACTATTTGAGAAGGACTGCTGTAGATAAACAAACACACATGGTTATTGGCAGCCTATTATAAATGTTGTTTACAATATTTTTAATTTAAGGACACTTTACCCATCAACATAAGGAAAAAATGTAAATATATTGGTTCCTACTTTATGATTTTTTTGTTGTTGTTTTTGGACTGATCTTCATGTCCTGTCATCGAGTACCCTTAAAATTAGGCAAGTGGTCACAATAATATGGCTGATGTTTCTCCTATCTCCACTAACGACACCCTTTTGTTCATTTTGAACAATATGTGGGCTTTGAAGATTTAATATTGCAAACATTTAATTAGCAGCAAACTGTGGCTGCTTTAAGTACCTAAAGCTTCTATAACAAAACAGAGCCCTGAAAAGTGGCAGCCTCAGCCAGCCCACGCTCTGTGGTTTACTTTGAGTGCTGTAAATTATGATCAGCTCATCACTTAATGACTTAGACTGAGTCACAGTTTGAAATGTTCTCTTGTCCTGCACAAATGCTTATGCATCATCACTAGACAGCGTGTCGCATGCACTTTTCATCGCACTCCAAGGTCAAGGTCACAAATCAAGGTCAGAGTTGTACAAGGTATCTTGCTTGTCCATGGTATTGCTATAGATTGCTGTATTGCTTTAGAATAGTTTGTCGGTGGGCATATAATGTGCAGAATGCGATACTCTTGTTGGAGACTTCCAGTCCTTTATTTTTTTATTTTAACTGTCCAAAAATGGCAAATTGTTTCTAAAATCCCATAATACTTTGTGTATATAGTGAGCAAAATCTTGATAGAAAGATTTCTGGAAAGTCTGGAAATTGGTCTGAACATGCTCTGTGTTGTTTAAGGATTTATTTTCGTGGACTGGTTTGAACTGTTTTCAAACAAGATGTAACTTATCATTCACAACAGTATCATTTCCACAGAGAATGAAAACTGCCAAAGTTATTCCAACATTTAAAGCTGAAGACAAACACCTTTTCACCAACACATATATATATATATACAGTATATATGT